GGCATCGGAGGTGAGCGAGACCTCGGAGACGCCGATCCCCGAGCCTCCAGACGAGGGGGGAGGGGCGCCCGGGGGCCACAGAGGCCGCGACTTGCGTGGACGTCCCCGAGCCGGGCCTGCCGGGGGCCGCGCTGGCTCCGGACGGCGGGCAGCCCGGGCGCACCTGCCCGAGGCCGGCAGAGACCTTTGCCAGAACTCCTCTGTGTCCCCGTCGCCGTCTGCCCTCCCTCTCGGCGCCCATGTGGCAAACACTCCCATCCACACCGCTGCGAGGAGGGTGGCCCTGACCTGCCCCGCCAGGACAGGTGCTGCCTGCTTACTCAGCCCCCTCACCTCTTCATAGCTTCTTCCCGTCCTTCCATCCGTCTCCACCGCGTCCCCACCCTGTGCCTCATCCCTTCACCTGCCAAAGCTATTGTCCCTGTCTATAGGAAAAGTCTCAGCCCCTAAAGTGTCCTCAACCCTGGCATGTGGAAAGAGCCAGGAGGTAGGGTGCTTCACCCTGTGGCTCTGGTAGCCCCATTGCCTGGTCCTTTCTGGTCTCATTTGCCTCTCCTCCCCAGGGCCAGGGACTCCCACTTCTCTGCCTGACCACTGAGTTCCAGGAGTCCCAGGCACAGGTTCCCTTCCTTGGGCCTCAGTTGTTTGGTCTGGCAAATGGGGATAACAATAGCTGTCTGCCTCCCTCTGTAGGGTACGGGGTCATGAGGTCATGGCCTTGAACCCTTCAGGTAAAAGGGGCTGTTTACTTGATGCTGATGAAGGGAACTCTGGGTCATGGTGGAGAGCCGGGGGCAGGGTCTGGACTTTGGAGTCAAACAGACTTGGTTTCTGTACCAGAACCACTTGCGCTCTCTGAACCTCTTTCCTCATTTGTAAGAGGGGCAGCCGTGCCTACCTCATAGGAGGGTGTATTAGCATATTGTAAAACCCTCAGTACAGGGCAAGTAGTAATAGGTACTCAATGAATGGTCACTAATAGTAATGCTGTTGCTCTTTCCCTCCTACATTCTAAATTGGCTGTTACTCCTTCAACCCAGCCCAATTCAGTGCTCCCTTGCCCCAAAGACATCATTCTGGCGCAGATGTGCGCTGGCTTGGAGCCATGCCCTCTCCCATCACGTTGGGCTCCCCCTCTCCTCAGTGCCCAGGTGGAGGCATCTCGCTCTGACCTCATCTGGGCTCCTTTTATGCCTGCCAGTAGAGGGGAAGCTTGGTCCCAGAACAGAGTGGCCTGCCTTCAGACTAGTGCTCCAGGTGACCTCAGCTTGCCCCAGGCCATCCTGTAGGTTGGTACTAATTGGTTTGGCTGCAGCCCTGCTTGTTAAATGGTTGTTATTACTAACAGCCTGAGCGGGGAGGCCCAGCCTCCTGGCTGGGGGGCAGGCTGGCTCTGATTCTGACTGGCTGGCCCTGCCCTTCTGGCCCAGTGGTCAGGCCCAGGGCCCCATGTGGTGATTTGCTGGAGATCTAGGCTTGATGTGCAGCTGAGGGGTTAAGACAGGCCCAGCTCAAAAGGCTGAGCGGGGCAGGGGCTGCCTCTGTAGGGCAGAGTCCTTTAGTAGCCAGGGCTGCTGGGCACTGAGGGGTCAGCTCACAGCCTGGGGCCAGAGCACCATAGAGGTCCCTGTGATACACACAGGAACCAGGAGTGGAGCTGAACCACACCCAAGCCCCTGCAGCCTGAGGCCTTGCATAGTAATAGCTGGCATTTACTGAGTCTTTACTGAGTCAATTGAGTGTTCACAACAAGCCTATCAGATAGGTACTGTTGTTATCGCTGTTTTAGAGAGGCAACCTTGAGGTTTAGAGAGGTCATGTAATACGATCAAGGTCAGATGGCTATCAGAAGTCCAGGGCATTGCAGGGGGACGGAGGAGGACACGGGTCCCCAGTGGCCATTGTAGACACCCTGCACAGAAAGGATGCCAGTGAATAACGTGCCCACCTCCACCCCAGCACACTTTCTTCCCAGTCCCTGGCACTCTGCTCCCCAGGTGTTCTGCACCCCTCTCCCATCTGTCCCATGCGCTGGCCCTATGCCCTCTTTCAAAACATAGGTGCCTCTGTCTGATCCCTCTGCCCTTGGCTCCTGGCAGAGGGTTAGGGGTCAGCTAGTGACTTCCTAGAAGGCCATTGATAAGAGGGTGTTGGGGGAGCTCTCTGTGAGGGAGAGAGATGTAGGTAACTTGAGCCTGAGGGTCTCCTCTTTGCCTGTCCCTGCAGTGAAAGTTCAGGACACCAGAGCCAAGCAGAGGCCCTGGAGGAACAAGGGGCTGAGGGCAAGGGCTCTGACTTCATACTGCCAGGCTGCAGCCGGGCTGTCCACCCCCCATGAGGGAAAGCTACGCAATGCTCTGTGCTTCAGTTTCCCCTCTCCATAGTGGGATAGTAATAGCACAACCTCCAAGGTTGCTTTCAGTACATGCCACACAGTTAGAATGGCATCTGGTGCTCAGAGTATGTAGCCTCTTTGTCATCATTATCCCTGCACACCAGTGCTGGACTGCAGCTCTGGGTTCCAGGCTGCTTCCCACTTGGTCAGCAGCAGGGAAGGTCCCAGAAGTTCTGTGGTCACAGGGGTGCCTTGTACCCTGCCACCACCTCTCTGGAGTTGTGCCGCATGGTGGGAAAGAACCCCAAACTCAGTGTCCAGCTACGTTCCCGGGCTCACTCCCTAATGACCCTGGGCAAGTTCCTAACCTTCTGAGTCTGTCTCCTTGTCTGTCAGTGCGAATAATCCTGCCCAATGGTCCCGCTGCCATCAGGCTCGATAGCTTTCTTGAGCGCCCTTTGCGAGCAAGAGGCGCCATTTTGGAGGTTGGGGAGGAGATTAATTGCTCCTGCTCTCCTGGCCAGAGTGGGAAGCTGTGGGGTGGCCGCTTTGTGGGTGCTGTGGATCCTGTCATGGAGAAGTTCAACTCATCCATCACCTACGACCGGCACCTGTGGGAGGTGGACGTGCAGGGCAGCAAAGCCTACAGCCGAGGCCTGGAGAAGGCGGGGCTCCTCACCAAGGCCGAGATGGACCAGATACTGCAGGGCCTGGACAAGGTACTCTCCCTGTCCCCAGCCCCACCTCAGGGCCCCTCCCTGCAGTCCCAGCCTACCAGTGGATTTCCAAAGGCAGGTGGCAGTGTCCCAAGCCCACCATTTTACACTGTAGTGGTTATGTGCTTGGAGAGGTGCTGTTCAGCCATGTGCTGTGGTAACTGTCTTTCTTCATCCTTTCACGACCCCTGTGACCCCGGGGGCTCACAGGCAAAGGTGTGTCGGGCCTGAGATGCCACCTTGGGAGTGGCAGCTGTGCTCGCCCCCTCCCGAGATGCACTTCCAGCACTCAGCTCCTGTGTACTGGGTCAGTTGGACACTAGGGAGAGGGCAGGGCCAGGGCGGGCGTCCTCCCAGCTGCTGAAGTCTGTCTGCTGTCCCCCGCTGTAGGTGGCTGAGGAGTGGGCCCAGGGTACCTTCAAACTACACCCCAGCGATGAGGACATCCACACAGCCAACGAGCGGCGCCTGAAGGTGTGACCTCCTCTTACCTTCCCTCTCTGCCTCGCACTGGGCCGCTCTGATCATAAGTGCCATCATTCCGTGCCCTTCATCACTGGCAGAGTGTAGGCGAGACCTCAGCGTGGGAGGCCTCTGCAGTGATGGCAAGAGATCGGGCAGGACCCAGGCCCAGGACAGGGAGGGAGGGCCACAGGGCTAGTGAGTTACCCACCAGGCTGTGAGCCCGCAGACACTGACCCATTCTCCCTTCACCCCTAGGAGCTCATCGGCGAAACAGCAGGGAAGCTGCACACGGGACGCAGTCGGAACGACCAGGTGCTGCCAGCACCTCCGCCACTGCCCCGCACCTCCCAGCCATGGGGAGCCCAGGCGGCACTGAGGGCTCGGCAGCGGGCCTGGCTCCCTGACTGCCCCCCTCCCCACAGGTGGTCACAGACCTCAGGCTGTGGATGCGGCAGAACTGCTCCTCTCTCTCCGTCCTCCTCTGGGAGCTCATCAGAACCATGGTGGACCGGGCAGAGGCGTGAGTCCCCTCCACGCGCAGGTGGCAGAGAGAGGCAGCTGTGGGGGCGACCAGGGCCTCCTCTCCCCTGAGGCCTGAACACTAGACCTGGGGGCAGGGGTGAACAGGGTAGGGGGCCAGGCCTTGGGGTACAGGAAGCCCCACAACTCCAGGAGGGCACAGAGTGGGCAAGATGGGTGTTTCTTGCAGCCTGCATGGCAGCCTAGCCTGGCAGGCAGGGAGACCTCGCCCTTCTAGGATTCGAGGGTGGGAGGTGAAAGCACTAGGCAAATGCCAGGAAGCCCCAGGAGAGGGCCTGACTGCCTGGAGCATCAGAGTCACTCCTCAGCCTGCCTGTGTCCCACACCCACCATCCTGTGCTCCCCATGCCCGCCCAGAATTGCTGGCAAAGGACAGAGCAGGCCGCCTCCTGCTGGCCTCATCCCAAACTTGGGCTTCTGTGATCTATGTCTTTGGGGCTGGCTTTGCTCCCTGCAGACATGGCCTAGGAGCTGCTGAGAAGTCCCCATGTGATGTCAGACAGGGCTGACCCCTCCTGTTCCCCTTCTCACAGACCTCAGTCACCTGAGGGAGAAACGGGGGCACAAGAATAACTGATAGGGGGGCAGGGGCGCTGCCAGGAGGAACAGGAATAGGGAGTGACTGCCACTGAGGACAGAGTTTCTTTACGGGGTGATGAAAATGTTCTAAAATTGATTCTGGTGATGGTGGCACCCTAAAGTGTACCCTTTAAATAGACAAATTGTATATTAGTTATATCTCGATGAAGTTGTTTATTTAAAAAAACACAACAGAACCACAGCACCTCTGTCTCTGCCCCATCTGCTTTAAAGTGGCCCCAGCTATTTCTGGGGTCCTCAGGAGCTTCACATGTGTCACAAACACAGCCTGCTGAGGACGCCACCACATGCCTTCTCCCCTGTTCTGGCCCAGCTAAGGGTGAAACCCACACTTGGTCCTGTCAGAGCCCCACCCCATCACAGCCACGCCCCTGCAGCCCTGGCCCCGGTCAGTCCTTGGAGCACACTGTCCCACTTCCTGTCTCTTCCCTTTCAGCCCCCGTGTCCCCAGGAGATCACTTGATCCCTCATGCAAGCAGAGCCTTGAAGGCCTGCCCAGCTGTCTCTGGAGAAGCCCAGCCCACAGGGTCCCAGGTATCACAGGCAGGCCTTGCCGGAGCCCCAGCCCCTCAGGCCCCTGCCCCTTCTCTTCCCCACAGGGAGCGGGACATCCTCTTCCCGGGGTACACACACCTGCAGAGGGCTCAGCCCATCCGCTGGAGCCACTGGATCCTGAGGTGAGTGGAATGTGGTGTGCGGGTGCCGTGAGGGGGTTGTGATGGAGGGGAGCACCCTGGCTGCCCTGACCCCCCCTGCCCCTGGCTTTCCACAGCCATGCCGTGGCACTGACGAGAGACTCTGAGAGGCTGCTGGAGGTGCAGAAGCGGATCAACGTCCTGCCCCTGGGGAGGTGAGTGAGGCTTGGCGCCTGAGGGTGGGGATTGCTGCTGCATATGCACTGTCAGCATGGCCCTTGGGGACTGACAGAGAGGGGAAGCCCTGAAGGACAGCAGGACAGAAAGCCAGCTAACCAGAGGGAGGAGGACCCTGTGCGGATCCCCCAGCTCTCTCTAAGATGGGACAACCACGCTAGCAAATGTGTCTGAGCGGGGCCATAGCTCTCCAGGGAGGCCCCAGTAGAACCCACCAGCGCCCACTGCCTGGGGACAAGTGTCCTTGCACCAAGGGTGACTGGGCCGGGGACAGAGCTGAACTCCAGGGTGAAGCGCTGGCAAGCAGGGCTTGGTTCTGTTGTGTGCATCTGTGTATGCGCCGGGGCCTGCGGGAGCCCTGGTCACTATGAATCCCCTGTCCCTGCAGCGGAGCCATTGCGGGCAACCCTCTGGGCGTGGACCGGGAGCTGCTCCGAAGAGGTGAGACAACTGCCCCTCCTCCCCAGGGACAGCACCATCAGCACCCTCCAAGGCCCGCAGACACACATGAGATGAGAGGGCAACTGGGTGAAACCCTCGTTTATCACCCATGGGCACTGAGGTTCTCAAGGCAAGGGCCTACTGTGGCAGGGGTGCCCAGTGCTGGGGAGACTCAGGCCTCCTGCCTCCTGCCTCACTCCTGGGGCCTGTGCCCACCCCCAATCCCTTCCCAGAGCGGAGTCAAGGAGGAGGTGGCTGGGCAAGCTGGTTGGAGTAGAAGAGGCCGCTCCTTGCCCTCCAGCCCTGCCCGTTTCCTTCCCCTCCCCTCCGCCCTCTCCAGAACTGAACTTTGGGGCCATTACTCTAAACAGCATGGATGCCACCAGCGAGCGAGACTTTGTGGGTGAGTCTTGCAGCCAGCCAGCCCATCCGCCAGGCCAGTCCCCTGCACTGTGTCCCACCTTTGTCCTCCAGCCCCAGCTCCTCTCCAGTCTCCTCCCATCCCCGTCCGGACCCCTCCACCCCCCAGCTTCTCCAGGCTAGGAGGGGAGCAAGACTGGCCTGGTGACCAGACAGCCTGCTCTTGCTCCCAAGCTGAGTTCCTGTTCTGGGCTTCACTGTGCATGACCCATCTCAGCAGGATGGCTGAGGACCTCATCCTCTATGGTACCAAGGAATTCAGCTTTGTGCAGCTCTCTGATGCCTACAGGTAAGGCCTGAGCTGCCACCTGCCCTGCCCCAGGCAGCAGACCAGCCAGGGGGCAGGTGAGCCCCTTCAGTCCCAGCCTCTCTGTCCCCAGCACTGGAAGCAGCCTGATGCCTCAGAAGAAAAACCCAGACAGCCTGGAGCTGATCCGGAGCAAGGCGGGGCGAGTGTTTGGGCGGGTGAGCAGGGCAGAGAGGGGGCATGGCCTCTAGGCTGGCCTGGCCCTGCAGGTCCTGAAGGGACTTCCAGGACAGGCTCCAGGGTCCCAGCTCCTGAGCCTCACTCTTCCCACAGTGTGCTGGGCTCCTGATGACCCTCAAGGGACTTCCAAGCACCTACAACAAGGACCTACAGGTGCGAGGCTGGGGCAGTGGTGGGGGCCCACCTGCCTGCACAACACGCAGCAGTCCCCAGGGCTCTGGCACACGCAGAGGAGTGGTTGCCCTCAGGGTCTCTGCCCTCCCTTGGTGCAGGGTGTCAGAGGGGTCAGGTGTTCCCAGTGGAAAGCAGTGGGGATGTTTAGGGGGCATGGGGCTGCTGGGCCCTCACATCCTGCACATGCCTCCCAGGAGGACAAGGAAGCCGTGTTTGAAGTGTCAGACACCATGAGTGCTGTCCTCCAGGTGGCCACTGGCGTCATCTCCACACTGCAGGCAAGACACGCCCTTCCCCCACCTGCCTCCCTGCCCCCAGGCCCAGAGTGGGCATGCCAGTAGCCTAGTCTTGAGAGAAGGATGGCGGGTGGGCTGGAAGACCCGGGGCACAGTAGGGGACGCGCTCCTTCCTGCCCCTGAGGATCTGAGAAGGGACAGAAGCTGCTGCCATAGGATGGAAGTGGATTAGATTCAAGGAGTCCAGGCCCCCTCAGCTGGCCAGACCAGGAGGTTTCACTTTTGATCATTTATTATGGGAAATTTCAGTATACAACAGAGAATGCATAACGACCCCCTATGTACCAACACATAGCTTCAACAGTGATCAACTCGTGGCCATTCTTCCTTCACCTGTCTTTACCCAGTACCACCCCCCACCTAACTCCCGCCCCCCCTTTAGTGAAGCACATTCCCGTCATCACATCATTTCATTCCTGAATAGTTCAGGATGTGCCTTTAAAGCACTGCTCTCAAAGCGTGGTCACCTGCACTTGCTAGAAATGCTGCCCTAGGCCCCGCCCCAGACTGCGGGCGACTCCGGGCGGGGCGGGCCCAGCGATGCGCATTTCTGAGAAATCCTCCGGCTACTCCCGATGCACGCTAGAGATAAGGACCCCGCAAGCACGCAGGCCACACGAGTAGCACCCCAATAACTGTGGGGAGAGGGCTCAGGCCGGGAGCAGGCAGAGCGGGCGGGTGGGAGTGTCTGCGGGGGCGGGCGCTGGGCCCAGCGCTCACGGCCGCGGGGGGCGCCCCAGGTTCGCGCTGAGAACATGGCACAGGCGCTCAGCCCCGACATGCTGGCCACCGACCTCGCCTACTACCTGGTGCGCAAGGGGGTAAGTATGGGCGGCGGGGGCCGGGGCCGTGCCCGGGCCGGGAGGGCAGGCGCGGGCACGGGGCGGCCCGGGAGCACAGGAAGCCGCCTGAGCGCCCGGCCCGGGCCCGCAGATGCCGTTCCGCCAGGCGCACGAGGCCTCCGGGAAAGCCGTGTTCATGGCCGAGACCAAGGGGGTCGCCCTCAACCAGCTGTCGCTGCAGGAGCTGCAGACCATCAGGTGCGGCCCACGCCCTGCCCTCTGTCTGGGCTCCTGGGGGCCGGGCGCGCGGCACCGGGCCCACCCCCTGCTGTTCCCGCAGCCCCCTGTTCTCGGGCGACGTGGGCCGCGTGTGGGACTACGGGCACAGCGTGGAGCAGTACGACGCCCTGGGTGGCACGGCGCGTGCCAGCGTCGACTGGCAGATCGGCCAGCTGCGGGCGCTGCTGCGGGCTCAGCGGGCCTAGACCCGAATAAAGCGACCCGGGCAGCTGCTGCGTGTTTCCTGCCCTGCCTGTCTCCTCGTTGGGGGGCTTTCAGGGTCTGTGAGCGGCCAGTGGGGTCCATCAAGGAGGTGGGGAAACTGGGCAAGGGTGGCGAGAGTCGGGGATGGGGAAAGGAGGAGAGGGGCTCCCATCAGACCCTCCGTACTGTCCAGTCCCCACTCCCCTCACTGCAGGGCATCACAGGGACCGCCTGCTGTGAGTTCTTGGCAGGACTGGCGGGACCCTGGAGGGGCCCGATGAGTAGCTCAGTCATTTACCGTCCACCCCCTTCCTTCCCAGCGTGTGCAGGCCCCCCACCCTCCTCCTCCGCTTTCTTAACCTACCCTTCCCTGGCCCTTTCAGGTACCATCGCAGGTTGTCCCTTGGGCTGAGGCCTGTGCCCTGGAAAGTGGCATGGTGGTAAGGTCAGTCACCCAGTCAGCGTGTGATGGCAGGCACTAGGTTAGCTCCATACAAAGGTGAAGAGGAGGCCTCCTCCCTGGTAGAGAGTGATGTAGGAATAAATTCCCTCTCACTACTGGTGAGGCCAGGGGCACAGACATGCTGGAGGGGGCCTGCCCCTGTGCGGTTGGGGGAGGGACAGACACACCCCATCTGCAAAGGCCCTGAGGCCAGGCCTGGCGCACATACGTGTTCGTGAGAGCCTAGGGAGACACAGAGGCCCCCTCTACACAAATCTCATCACATTTTTTCCCTTTTTTTTGTCTTTTTTCGTGACCGGTAACGGGATCGCAACCCTCGGTGTCACGCCCGCACCACGCTCAACCAGTGAGCGGACTGGTCTCTATATGGGATCCGAACCCTTGGCGGGAGCGCCGCCCGGCTCCCAAGTGCCACACTCTACCAAGTGCGCCACGGTGTCACGCCCGTACCACGCTCAACCAGTGAGCGGACTGGTCTCTATATGGGATCCGAACCCTTGGCGGGAGCGCCGCCCGGCTCCCAAGTGCCACACTCTACCAAGTGCGCCACCGGGCCGGCCCCAAATCTCATCACATTTTATTAACAACAGTGGTAAACAAGGTAAACTCAGGAAGAATGAATTGCTCCCAAGTGACTATGGGAACAATGAAAAGATTTTATAGCTAAAGAATCACAACTCCATCGTTGGGCACATGACATCAAATCCCAAAAGAGGTCAAAGCTGTGAGTCACAGAATCTTCCAGAGCACTGTTTCTCAAAGGGTGGTTTTTGACTGTCATCGGCATCATCACCTGGGAACTTGCTAGAAACGCAAACTTTCAGGCCACCCACACCTATGAAATCAGATGCTGGATGGGCCCACTGGGCTGTTTTCACAAGTCCTCCAGGCGATTCTGCTGCACGGTCAAGTTTGAGAACCACTGGTCTCTAGACGCTTGTTACACAGACCAGCAACACCAGCCTCCCCGGCCCCGCCCTGGCCTGCCCAATCAGAATCTGCATTTTAAGGGCTGGCCCATGGCTCACTTGAGAGAGTGTGGTGCTGAATACACCAAGGCCACAGGTTCGGATCCCTATATAGGAATGGCTGGTTAGCTCACTTGGGAGAGCATGGTGCTGACAACACCAAGTCAAGGGTTGGGATCCCCTTACCAGTCATCTTTAAAAAAAAAAAAAAGAATCTGTATTTTAACAAATTCCCCACCTGCCTCCTGTGCACATTAGAGTCAGGAGTGCTGATCCAGAGAAAATGGCTAAAAATCTCAGAAACCGAGGCAGGCCTTATGTCCACCCAACAGCAGATGGTAGTAAAGTAATTGTAGTACACACAGCCCGAGAGAACTGGACTGAGGAGACTGCCGTCATGCCCTTCTAGCACCTCCACCGATGGGGCGCACCCCAGTCTGAGTGGGAAAGCTGTTTTTCGACAATCCTGTTAAAAGTTCCTCCCTAGGGCCGGCCCGGTGGCGCACTGGAGAGTGCGCCGCTTGGGAGTGCAGCGGTGCTCCCGCCGAGGGTTCAGATCCCATGTGGAGACCGGTTCCCGCTCACTGGCTGAGCACGGTGCGGGCGCAACACTGAGGGTTGCAATCCCATTGCCAGTCCCCGGTACAGGCGCGACACCGAGGGTTGCGATCCCGTTACTGGTCAGTAAAAAAAAGACAAAAAGGAAAAAAAAAAAAAAAGTTCCTCCCTAACCAAACTAATCAGCCTCCCAGCGCCTCCCACCTGTGAGCAGGGCACCTGTGGTCTCACCTGGCTAGAAGGCACGAGCCTCTCCTAGCTCAGGAAGAGCCAACGTTTGTACAGCTTTTCCCCAGGCTCTGCCCATACGTGGCTGAGCTGCCCCTCGAATGTGCCTTGCCCGTTCTGCTACCAGCTGGCTTAATCTTTGCCTCTTCTCTACTTTTTCTTTTTTAACCTCAGCATCTATTTACACCAAAGCTCAGTGTGACCTTGTATTTGTTTCCAATCACTGCTGTAACAAACTACCAAAAACTTAGTGGTTCAAAACAACATAAATGTGTTATAATTCTGGAGGTCAGAAGTCTGGAATGGGTTTTACTGAGAGGAAATCAAGTATCAGCAGTGTCAGGTGTTCTCCAGAAGCTCTTGGGGAGAATTCCATTTCCTTGCCATTTTCAGTTACTAGAGGCCACGAGCACTCCTTGGCTTGTGGCCCCTTCCTTCATCTTCAAGGCCAGCAGTATGGCATCCTCAAATCTGTCTCTGCTTTTATTGTCACATCTCCTTCTTCTGACTGGCTCTTTTGTCTCCGTCTTATAAGGACTCTTGTGATTACATTGGGTTAGCCCAGATAAGTGAAGATAATCTTTTCATCTCAAGATTTTTGGCTGAATCATATCTGCCAAGTCCTTTTTACCATGTAAGGTAACATATTCACAGGTTCTGGGTATCATGACATGGACATCTCTAGGGGACCATTGTTCAGCCTCCCACAGTCTGCTGCTGTCTGGCTCTCAGATTCATGTTCATCTCACATGCAAAATACATTCTTCCCATCCCAAGGTCGCTCAAAGTCCAAAATCTTAATCTACATCTCATCAGCTCAAAAGTCCCATATCTCATCATCAAAATCATCTAAATTAGCTATTAGTGAGACTGTACAACTGCCTTTGTACCTAGATGTGATGAAGGCCCTTACCCAAAGCTTGTTCAAAATTATGCCTGTAAGGAAAGTTTTATGCTTTGCTAACTTGCATATTTTAGCTTTTGTAAACCAGCTGTGCTTGCTCTTGCAAAACATCTTGTGTGCCTTACAGAATGTCACTAGTTAACAGCTCAAGGTTAAACATGAGTAACACTATTTTGTAAAAAACATCTATTTTGGTTCGTCTCAAGGATAGTAAGGGAGGAGGTAGGATGGTCAGAAAGTCCTGACCAAGGACTGTTGGAGAGTCCCTGTCAAATGCTAACTGCAAAATTAGCTCATGTACTCATGGCTTGCTTGCATTGGCTAAACGCAAAACGAACGATTATCCGATCACACCAAACTAAACATCAAAACCGAAAGTAACTTAGTCTCGGGGCCACAGTTTGAATTGGCTGCTGTGGCCCCGGCCGGAATAAATCCTTTAAAACTCCCTTCTGAGTGTGTCTCCTTAAAATTCGGCTATAACACATAGTAGTACCTACTTCAAAGGGTTGTTGTGAAGATTGAGTTATTACTAGTGAAATACTTGGGAGAATGCTTGCCTCATGGTAAGCATCCACTCCTTGTTATTATTTTAGAAAATGTGGATAATAAAAAAACCCACCTTTATTTCTATTGTAGGGGGAAAAAACAGGCAAAAATCAACCAACCCATCAATTGCATGCATTAGTACCACTTAGAGGCAATGACTATTAACATTTTGGGGGTTATATTATAGAAGACTTTTTGTCTTTATCCATTTATATATTATAAGTAAGCATATACTTTCCCTTTATTTGTTTGTTTGGAAACAGTTCTATTTACTTTACGTTGACCTTGTCCATAGAGCATTTATCAAGCTGGATAATCTGGGAAGGAGGTTGTGAAAGACGATCCATTCATTCAACCAACAAATATTTCTTGAACATCTACCATGTGCCGGGCACTGTTCTAGGTGCTGAGGACAGTGCAGCGAACAAAACAGGAATAAAAAAACAGTCCCTGCTGTCAGAGAACGTATATTCCAGTGTGGTCACACAGACGATAAACAAAATCATGAACATCTTGGGTGATTCAAAAGAACTAAACACTTAAAAATCATTAATCAGTGACTAAGTTAACTATACCACGTAGATAAGGACAATCTGTAAAGGAGCTCATGCAGTTAATCCTACAACCTAACAGATGCTCGACAGACAGCCCCGGTGTAACATGTACAGGGACCCTGGCACCGCGCCATCCCAGAGTCAGCTTCACCCAGATCCTTCATCACAGCTGCACTGGAAGGGAACCGGTCTGTATGTGGGATCCGAACCCTCGGGCGGGAGCGCCGCCGCACTTCCCAAGCGGCGCACTATCCAGTGCGCCACCGGGCCAGCCCTGCATGGCCATTTTTGCCCCACAGGTTAACCAGGGTCAAGGATCATCCTCATCATCGACCGTCCTTGATTGCTTTCTAACCAATTTTCAAACTTTTCAGGAAAAGGCTGCCTACTGCGGGGTCCCAGTGTCTTCCGGAACACTGCGGACACTATGTGAGATTGATTGGCCGGCGTTGGATGTTGGGTGGCCCTCTGAAAGAACAACTCCTACTGCTTTAAAGCCTGCAGGAGTTAAACCACTGACACATCATTCCCGAGTAAGGCTGTCTCCTGTAGAAAAAGACGATGTACCCAAGTCTATCAACCAGTGCGCTTGTGAACCAGTTAAACAAAATTTGTCTGTCTGTTAGTGTTTGAGTAACTAAGTTTGTGCCTTTTGGTCATTAAAGACCTGATGACTGAAAGAAATTATTTTTTCTCAGTTTCTCCTGGCAAGCTTGAAAAATTGAACACCTTAATTAGCTAAGTCTCTGGACAAAATTTGTCTGTTTATGCACAGAGTTCTGCAAGTGTTATAACAGAAACTCACTGTCTATGGCATTTCAGCCAAGATAAAGAAAAGCCTGTTAAAAGAATCAAGGCCGCTTGGAGATTCTGTTTTTCTTATACAATTCAGCCAGTTCTAGCTAAATGTAAACATTAAACTAAAACTGAAAAAAAAAAAAAAAAAAAAGAGCTAAATGTAAACATTAAACTAAAACTGAAAAAAAAAAAAAAACGTAAAAAGGCTTTTTAAAAAATCACAGTGCTATGAGAAATGTTTTTGGAATTATCTGCCTGGGTTTACTGGTCAAACAGGATTACATTTGTCTTTGCTAGAGGTTTTAAGGTTAAAGTTATAAGCCCAGCCTAAAACAGAATGATCTTTGATCATGCAATTTTTAGATAAATGAGGCTAATTTAGTATTGTTGGTGAAAAAGGAAATCAGTATGCAGGAGAAGAGG